AGTCAAACAGAAGCGCTTTTAATTTCTTAGTTTAAGAGAAGACAGAGAGTGTATACACCGATGTATCAAAAATATACTTGAATTATAGGTTGATTTAGCACTGTAACACAAAGAGTATGTTTATACTACATTTCACTATTTAAATTTCAAATTATGTCAATAATTCGAAATAATTAAATACATTTACTGATATGTGTAGTTGCTGATCGGCGGCCTATTCCCCTGGAGTAACAGGTCTAAGTAAGTAAGTAAGTAGTGTGTAGTTGACAAGAAAGCAAGGAAGTCCAATGAATTCGTCGTATTCTGCAAATATTATTACCCTTGTTTTTCTTTAAACCTTAAATATGATTGGCTATTATTGACTGTTATCCTATCATATGTGAAGAAATTCTTATAGCTTACTTCGGCCTAAAGATAATGACAATGTTGTTGTCTAGAAAGATTATAAAAACTTACTGCACAATTAAATTACATAGATTAGGGAACGCAACTCCATCATATTCATCATCCTAAACAACAAATCTTTACCATTGTTAAATACAATATACAAACTTGATATTGATTGAGATCATAAGAAATAATAATGCTCTATTTAGATGTTTCATTTTTATTATTATCAAGAGTTCGATTCTTTAACAATTTATAACCCTTTAATCACTTCACTAAGTCATATATTGATTTGTATAGTGTTAGAATTCTAGTAAACATTTGTTTCTTTTGAACGTTAAAATATAGTAGAAGCATTGGTTATTCCATGAAATGAAACATAAACTGTATATTCAAAGAAAATATATCCTATTTTAATCTGTCTTTATATTGGTCTTAATACATTATTACTGATATCACAGCTAATATTTTCATTACACTTAGGCTTATATTTGAAATTTGCCCATGTTCCTTAATAACATTTTGTATCCTTTTAATTTTGTTTATTCTTTATTGTTCCAGCTATCATTTCAACTGATCTCTTTAATGTCTAGATCTTTACTAAATGAGATCAAATATTATACATTTTTTTTTTAATTAGCTTACATCACCACACATTGAAAGGCATACATACATACATCAGCTTGACGAAGTTGAGCAAACATAGATTATTTATAATGTAGTACAATGTTTATCAATACGATATCATGATTATATCCCATATCTAACAATTTTATTGTCTTTTATGTAAGTGATTATACAACTTGATAAAAAAATTCCGTGGATTGGTTGAAGTTAGGAATTAACACTGTTGGATGCCGGCTGACTCAGCGGTTTAGAAGTTAAGAGTTCGCGCGCGAAACCGATAGGTCCTGGGTTCGAATTCCACAGGGTGGGATCGTGGATGCGCACTTCTAAGGAGTCCTTCAATAGGACAAACTAGCCGTCTAGTGCTTATAGGTTCTCCATGGTGGTCTAGCTTCAACTGACTCATGAGTTCAACCATTAAAAAAACTATAATTAAGTGAAAAAATCATTTTGTTGTATTATAGGTCTTTGATTTTATCCTAATAGAATTTCGCAAAGTGTTATAACCTTACGTTTTTCAATGTTCCATTAGTAATCTATAGATGAGAAACAATCCGACTAGATATGAATGTGCAATTTGAGAGTATATTTTCGTAAACAAGAGACTTGGACTTGTTTTCGCTTGAAGATTTGAGACAATGTTGGTCGAGTTATCAATATCTGGTAAATATTTCGTAAAATCTCCATTTACCAAACAAAATCGAGATGCTTTCTTTTGAGCTAACAACTACAGTTTTCATATTCTCAAAAAAATTTGTAACACTTATCTCTTTCTTGGCCGAATAAGGCTTCACAAACAATTCTACTAGTTAATGTTATCCATATCTTATGTTTGATACTTTTTCTTCACGTCTGTTCTGTAAACATTTTTCACTAATTATTTGAACACTTCTAATCCCGTAACTGTAAAAATCTTTAATGAATGATATTTAACTGTTTATTTCTCTAAGTCTTTGATTTTTGTACTGGTTAGTGTTATTTTTAGCGAGTTCGTTTTCTACGGGATGGAGTCGCTAACCCCATGCCCAACCCTCCTCTTTTATCCGTGCTTGGGACCGGTAGTAGCCCCAGAGAGGCTCCAGGTGGAGATTTTTCTACTACGAAACAGTAATTCAAGCCTTTCTCATTCTTATCACTGATATGATGGAAAGACAAGTCAGTTTTCGATTGATTTACTCATTATGAGTTTTGTTCAAGATTACTTCCGTTTGATTCAATGTAATGATTACTCAATGTAGTATTTGCTACTGTTATCCCCTATGACCTTTTTATTCTGTATAATATACGACATTCTTGTATTCCAATGACATGAACTATGCTCTGTATGTGGTTTGTTATCACTCTAAGTATTTTTCATATATGTGATTTCATCCTAATTATTAATCAAAATGGGTATACAATCAATATATAAATGAGTGTATTTTCTACTAGAATCGTCGTCGTCGTGTTTTAGGGTTAATAAATCATCACTTATACCAGTCTTTGTGTTCTTACTTTCGTGTTGTGGGAATTGCAGAGATCCCTCGTTCCTAGTATAAGTGATAAACGTTTCCGACATAACAATCAGCGACGACCAGATATAAAAAGTAGCATTAAAAGAGCCAAGACAATAAGCATTCAAACGACAAGTTATAACAAGCACTACTAGTACACCAATCGTCAAACGATCAATTTGTACTTTTAACTCATGATGTTTGGTTATGTAATCTATTTCGTTGTTATGATTGTCTAATAAACTATTTTGATTGATTTAATATTTTCATAATCGCATATAAATATTACTGTATATTAAGAATAAAATTGATGAGGATTTAATGAGAAACAATATTAATCGCTTATATGTATTGTTCTGTAAACAAGTCGACGAATATATGATAATATACTGTAAAGTAAACACAAATACAGAAGTAGACTAACATTGAGAATTTTTAGAAAGAAAAGATTCAAACCATCATCATCAAATCATTTAGTATGATATCCTATTTACTGGTAGTTTTATTATTAACAAATGAGAGACAGTATTAAATCCATTACAATTTCATATTAATATCAACTGATTTCAGCTTGGAAACCATCGACAAAAGGAATAAGGTTTATGGATATGAACAGTTAATTGGCAACCCAATGGTCAAAAGAGATATATAACGTGTTCACTTAAAGATTTTAGAATTCAATAATCCTTGAGAAGATCTTAAGTATCGATCGCTGAGGAGTTTCGCACCAGGATAAGACATTTTCCCAGTGTTTTCTTGGTTTTTAATGATTTATCTTGTTAACTTTAATAGTCTGTGAGATAAGTGGAGCTTCATAAATTGAACTTATCTTCAAATAAAAACTACATGGATTAAAAATAGTTTCAATGACTTACCAGCTGATGTGACTTCATCATCTTCATCTAAAATATCGTCATCAGAGAGAATGTTCGGCTCAGTGTAGAAGCTTGCCCATTTTGTACTTGAAACAGCAGCTAGAATAGCTCCCTGAATTGTTCGATTATTTTTGGATGTAAAAAAATGCAATAAGACTGTACGGTTATTATTGTGGTAGAAAACTAACAATTATAACGGGACGAGTATTTAAAGTGTTAAACTCTTGCAATCGCACTACCTGATTATAGAGACGGAAATCATATAACCATTTTCTCGATCAAATCGGACCCAATACAATTCATTTTGTCTTGTTTCCAATGAAAGAATATATACAATTTTAAAATTTACAACGGAATCTAGGAAGTGCTGGACGAAGTCTCGAATAGAATGACACACTAATTCTAGATTTCATTGCTAGAAACAATCTATGCACATTCTAAATGATCTTGTAATATAAAAGCAATAATCGAAATAATGCTTAAAGATCACACATATTTCAGTAAAGACCAATTAAAACTCAGTACAGAATATCAATAAAGAGGTCATTTAAATGATTGACAATAGTTGCACAACGGTTGTGATTCCTCACCACTCATTGATGAGAAATTTTAGGGTTGTGCTCATTTGATAATGAACAAACATAATGTCACTTGTAATAATTTGTTAATTGGCTGTAAACTGTGCTGTTTTGCAATTTGATTAGTTCAAAGCCAAGTAGCATCAAGTATTTTGATTGGATCTAAGAATTTGCATTTTTACATTTGAATTTTATTTTAAATAAATAATTCTCTTTGACTGTTCCATCCAAGTTTTGATAAAAAATTTTAATTTCTGAATAAAGGAGAAACCAATTCTATTTGACTGCCTTTCTATACTCCTTTCTGTGAATGAATATCAGGATAAACTTCTACCAGAAGTTTGTGCTGATGATGTCGTTCAGAAGAACGATGAAAGCTCCACGACTAAACCATTCAGCTCAGAGAATAAAACTCCATCAAAATTCTTTCAATCAAGTTGAAATGAAACTGAAGTCGTTAGGTATGGTGACAAGAGAAATAATATGTGATCATTAAAATATAATTTTGGAAAAACTAAAAACTGCCTTTAGTGGCTGATAATAGTGATTACTGAACTTAAAAGGTTGTCAAATGTAGTACAGTAAATCAACGTTATTGATAACTTAAACTTATTCGTACTAATTTTCAGTAAACACTAAAAGGTAAAAAATCTTGTTGTATAGAAGATAAGAGTTATCAGATGAAACAGTTAAACGACTTCATGGAGAAAGAGATTAAAAAAACTAATTGATATTAGTTTTTTAACGAATTGAAACAAAAGAATTTAAATCACATTGTGGGTGGTCCTAAAAAGAACCTTTAATCGGTATGCTAACAGTTCAGATTTTCTTGAACAATGGCGTGACTATGATTCCGTAATCGCGCCACACAGTCAGTCAGCTACAACGTGGGATCAAGTACATATGTGCATCGGTCCAAGTTGCCATACCTCATTAAAACAATAAGATGGACACTGGATTCGTAAAAGTAGTTAATTCAGAGGTGGTAATATATAAAAGAAAGATTGCAATAAGGATATAGTACAGGAAGAAAGAATTACTTCGTAGAAAAAAAGATATGAAGCAATTTTAATCTCACGGTTTAAGGGAAGACAAAGAGTGTATGCAACTACACCACTGTGATCGATTCTGAGCCATGTCACCCAGAATCTCCAACCATTGGTTACGACAGTCACGCGGACGCCATCCAAGTAGTCTTCATCTATCAACCAGGCTAAGACTAGAAGTTAGTGACTTCAAGCACTAATGCCACGTTTTGGTTTGGCCGCCCCTAATTTTCTTCCAACCAATCCCAACACTAGTCAGCATTACGTGTCGCAGTAATCGTAGTGTTCAGGCATACGTAACACGTGCCCGACCATCTCATTAGATGAAGATTCACGACCTCATCAACTGATTCACCATCATTCACTAATACACTGCGTCTAACCTCAGCATCACTTACCCGGTGATCACAGCACCAGCTCGGTTTGGAAATCGCGCGACACATAGTTTAGTGGAATTCATGTAATTGCATTGCAGTGACAAAAAATCCAAATGCTTCCATCGGCAGTTTCACTTGGTGCTAAGCAAGATTGCAGATGTCACAGAGTCTGTTGTCGTGGGCATCTTCGTCAGTGTCGTTGTCTCAGTCACAAAATTCTTCTGAGTTTATAGAAACAATTTCATTTTTGTCATTACTTAATGTGGCATGCAGATCGACGTTTGTTCGGTAGTTGCTACTTGTCGTCTGTTGGATCAACGGCATTGTAACATCCATGGAAGTGGAGGCTTCCATCTGAAACTCAGTTGCTGCAGATAAGGTCAACGGTGTTGGAGCCATCCTTCCGTAAACCACTTGATGCACAGAGTTATAGACAACACTACATCGTTCTTCAGACATACGCCTTACCAAGGAATATAATAAATTTTTAATGCTTTTTAATTGTCAGTAGCAACGCCGGTGAGGTAGATGTCCGACTGTAACCATCTGTCACTTCTGTGTTCACTTCAGCATTAGTGTGTGTACAATAGACCAAAACATGACGACATGACAATCCGTTTACAATGCAAAAACTACACGAACAATTGATGAAATTTCCGGAGACGGTCCACTAACCTTTAATAAACTTACAAAAGACGAAGGCCGGATATTGAGTGTTCATTGAAGTCCTTCATGAACAAGATAATAACACTAATGAAATTACCTCTTTCGTCTAATCGTCTGTAAGGATCCTCTAAGTGTTCTACAGCAATTTCTCCAACCTACAAATTTAATATACGACTTCTGATCTCTATGGAAATGAGAATCACGTACCGCATAGTGACAGTATGCTGCCACCGTTCATAAGTTTTATGGTGCTCTCTTTAACGTTTTCAAATGATTGAAACACTACCAGATACAATATATTCAAGAGCATGTTATCTATTACCATGACAATGTGAGAAACAACAGAACTTGTACTTTGTACGATATTATCATCCAATTTAAGAAATCGTCAATTTAATAAATAAATAAATAACCAATTATAATGAATGTAAAACTAGTCATTTAATTGGACAAGACGGAATAATTGAAAAATGGGATAAAAAAGGAAAATACAAAAACCGGGCATACATTTAAATTGTTACCAATGAAAATATAAATTTTAAAATTATTAAATTTACTAAAAAGAGAAATGTTTGAAGCTTAAAAGCTTTCTTTTACTAATTTGTTAAATATTCATTGATGTGGAAAACATCTATGAAATGAATTAGGCAACGATACCGATTGATATTCACCATAACTTTAAGAAACAGAAAAGGAGTATAATGGAAAATGTTAGCAAAAAAAACAGAATCATATATTCGATGAATTCGAATTGTAGTTAAGCTGAAAATCAACATTTATAAAATATCAGATGAGGTTTTATGGATATGATAGTAATTTTAATAGTTGAGATCATGAATCAGTTGAAGCTAGACCGCTATGGAAAATCTGGAAGCACTGAAAGGTCGTTTAACCCTATTGTGGGACTTCTCAGAAGTGCGCATCCACAATCCCGCCCCACGAAATTCGAACCCAGGACATATTAGTTTTACGCGCGAACGTTTAACCTCTAGACTACTGAGCTGGCCGGCATCCAACGGTGTGAATGTCTAACTTCAACCAATCCACGAAATCGTGCGACCATCTCCGATTGTACTGAGGTTGATACCCATATCTACGAGATATGGATTAGCTCCACTGGTCACAATTTCCCACTAGAACTCAGAGAATACCCTCACGAAGCTATTTACTAGTGAAAACATGGTAACCTGGAAGCATGCCTCACACTGTTGGATGTTGGCTCAGTGGTCTAGAGGTTAAGCGTTTGCGCACGAGACCGAAGGCCCTGGGTTCGAATCTTGAGAGCGGGATCGTGGGTGCGTACTGCTGAGGAGTCCCACATTAGGACAAAATAGACGTCTAGTGCTTCCAGATTTTTAATGGTGGTTTAGCATCAATCGGTTCACGATCTCAATCAATAACCTAATAATCTCCATATCCTTATACTGATATTGATTAATCCTCAAGTTTAAGAGATTCATAGACAGTTTAAAAACCATTAGGAATTGTCAGTGTTAAGCATTTAAGCACTAAACATACTAAGGATTTAAATCCAACTGTGTAATACTCAACAAAATGTAAGTGTATTGTACTTATTTCATCTTTTATTTCACTTCTTTAAACAATCTAAAAACCTGACTTTAAAATAAACTCCTTTTCTCATATATTTTTAATCGTTGCCAATTTTTCTTTTTAACTGCTTCATCTCTTTTTTGAAGAAAAATCTCATATCCTGTTTTCATTTATTTAATATTCATAATAATAATTATTTTATGGATTTATAGTAAGGAGTTAATCTGTAGGGGGGAAAAAAGATTTAATTCAAGATTTTATTTTATAGACTGGTAACAAAACTTTCTAATTTTGTCTGGAGCCCCTCTTAGGTTACTGCCGTTCCCAAGCCCGGGTAAAGGATGAGGGTTGGGTATAAGGCCAAAAAAAGACGCTAAATATTAAAAAAAAACGCAACTTTATAAAACGAAAAATGTTATCCTGGAGAATAAAATTTGAAAAAAAAATTCACAAGACCAATAACAGGACAGATATTATCGTAGAATTATTCAAGACAATGATTGATTTCTAATAGATAATTAGGTAATAGCTTACGTCTTTGTATATTTTGTGTTGTTAATAACTCATTTAATGGACATTTACTTCGGATCAGTAATGTTAATTAGGATTAAAATAAATGGATTAGTGTTGGACCGGATGTGAATACTCTATTTTCCTTAATGTTATATCAGAACGACGATTGACAGAATGATAACTCTCGAAACTAAGCTATACACGATTATTACTTACTTACGCCTGTTACTCCCAATGGAGCATAGGACACCGACTAGCATTCTCCAACCCATTCTTTCCTGAGCCTTCTTTTTCGGATATGTCCATTTTGTGTTCATTTTTCACATTTCTGTTTCCATTTCTCGTCGTAATGTGTTCTTTGGTCTTCCTCTCTTCCTTTGGCCTTGAGGACACCAAGTGAGGAATTGCCTTGTGACGCAATTGGATGCTTTCCTTATTGTGTGTCCTATCCACTTCCAGTGCTTCTTTCTGATTTCTTCCTCTGCTGGAATCTGGTTTGTTCTCTCCTACAGTAGGTTTTTGCTGATAGTGTTTGGCCAACGAATCCGAAGTATTTTGCGTAGACAACTGTTAATAAACACTTGTATCTTCTGAATGATGACTTTCGTAGTTCTCCAAGTTCTCACCCCTAAAGTAGAACTGCGTTGACATTCGTATTGAGAATTCTGACTTTGGTGTTGTTTGATAGTTGTTTTGAGTTTCAGATGTTCTTCAGTTGTAAATATGTTGCTCTTGCTTTGCCGATCCGCGCCTGTATCAAATCCACCGTGTTCATCAATGATGCTTCCCAGATATGTAATGGTTGCATGCTGTGTGGTAACGGAGAATCTTGCTTTACCCTTTGTATATGTTGAGACCTACTGCTGCTGAGGCTCCTGATACACTATTATTACACATATTCTTAACGTATAATTATTGAGTTATAAGATTACTGTGTCTATGTATTCCGTTTATTATACGTTTTTTGTTGACACATTAGCTACAGTCATACGACTTACTATTCCTAATTTGTTATCAGTCCATTACTCACTCTTTCTCCCATTCAGAGCCACTTTTGGCTTGTTCAGGTATATTTGGTACTTTTCAGTTCGTGATGTGATACGTTCCTGTATGTCTTTATATAAAAATATATATAAATAATTATAGTGGAAACTGGTTGTTGACTTTTAAACTTAAGGTAGGACATAGAGAGAAGCTTGTGATGAACTTATTAGAACTTAGCTGTTGGCTCAAGATTAATAGTTCTTGTCGGGAGTGTGATTGGTGAGTTTGAACACACCAGGCTATCGAGGAAAAACGAGACGCAAAATGTACCAAATCAGAATCAGAATTTTGATTGTTGACTTGACTCGTGATATTAGCCAGCTGTCCCAAAGACATAACACCCTGTCTAAGTGCTCGTATACCACAGCTCATTTAAACCTTTTATCGGGTGAGTTCAATTCATGGTATTCAGGTGATGTGGAGTGTTTTTAAAAATTGAGATGGGGAAATGTATATTTTAAGTGCACAGATCAGATTGGTGAAGACGTAGGAACCACCGATTTGAAACCATTGGTGTACATAGGCTCTCTGGTCGAAAACGAGAGCAAACAATTTAAGAATTAACTTCAATCACTGTAAACCATGGATCTATTGTAATGAACTGTAACTATCTGAACAAATATATTAGCGTCAAGTTTCAAATTATTTTTATGTTTCCCACCATTCAGAATCGTATATGTTTTTCAGTGACAGGTAAAAAAAATCGTACACAAAATACGGAATAAAATTACCTTAAGTTTGCGCCTAGCATTAAAACGTCTCATTTCTTCAACTGTTTCATGTAGATGTGTTTTAGATGCACGAGCTTTTTGACTAATCCATGGATGACGTAAAGCTTCTTCAATTGTTAATCTCTGTGTTGGATCCACTTCTAATAAACGTGATACTAAATCTCTTGCTTCCGGTGATATCATATTCCATACTTGAGGTTGACGCTATAAAAAAATTAGAGAGAAAAATTCACTAGCAAACTATCGTTAGTTTTATATTTCCTATCTTTATTATCAAATCTCTATTGGTAGGCTAGACGATAAGCAATGCTAACATTAATCGGTATCTATAAACTTGAGGAAAATCGAATTCGTTGTAGGGTTCGCAACCATTTCAACTTGCCTGTCATATCTAGGGACGTTATCATTGAGTTATATAGGTGATACTCATTGCTAACAAATGGAAACTAAAACGAAAACTAAGCTCAGTGGTTTAATCGATTGCTTTTGGGGGGGAATTCGATTGTTTAAAATATTAAATTATTTACACTAAATCTAGTCGAGTGAATAAAAATAAGTAACCTAAATGTCAGGTTCAACATTTACGACTGTAAACTTTGGGTTCGAGAATCAAGGAATCACTATCAATGACATTGCATAGTAATCGTGATCTATCATGAACTAAATGAAGTTATGTTTGTGGACCATTATAATGTAATTCAAAGGCCTTAAAATATCGTGCTTTCTGTTAAACCTGTGCGTCATAGGTTTGATCACATTTAGAGTACTGGATGCGCCTATACAGTAACCTAAAACTGTTGTTCAGCGCTCTGTGACTTTATACATGTATATATATATACATAATTAACAATAAAATGAAAATATTTGCATATTTTAAAATAAAACACAGGAGCATACGTGATAACGTCCAGAGACTATTTGTGTAAATAAAACATCTCGTGTTCCATAAAACGGTAAAGAACCACTAAGTAGAAGAAACAATAAAACACCACAACTCCATGCATCTACAGCTTTCCCATATGGTTCATGACGAATCATTTCAGGAGCCATATAATGTGGAGTTCCAATGCGACCTAAAGCATGAGAAAATAGGAGTTCATCATTACAATTTTTGATATGAGAAGTTTCAGTTGAGCATTGCTTTTCTATCGACACTCGTCATAAATGAAATCAGTTTTTACCTAACAAGTATTTTCATCGTATAGGTTACATAACATATTGAGGAACAACTTTATTGTGCTTTAAAGGAATGAATTTTAACATAACTACTACACATTCTATCAAACGATAAACAAAAAGAAAAATATGTCAACTACTGCTGCATTTTCGCCTTGCTAACGAGTACCAGTCTATGACTTATTACTAATTGCCTTCAACAACTGAGCCATAATTGTAATTATACTCAATAAAGAATAATAACCTTACTATCTAAATTTACCACAGGAACAGTTGAAAGAATGAACAGAAATTCAGAGCACAGGTATACAAAAACGCTTACGTACATATTCAATCATAACAATAATGATTACATGGAGCATAAAAGGGGGTCAATTCAATATGGATAAAAGTATTATCTTATGTTTCAATCACGAAGACTGTCGAAATATTCCTAGCGCTTTGTATGCTCTATGATAAAATGAATTCACTATTTGTATACCCTGAAAGGTAATAAGTCATTCAACTGATATCACAATTTGTAATACAAACAAGAAATAATCAGTTTTACCTATATTTTGTCATAATAATAATGATGAAAGAGGAAGGGAACATTTTCACTTACCACACTGAGCAGAACGTAGAGAAACAAAAATTTCTTGATCAACCGTTATCGGTGAATCTGTAGGAGTTTATTTTTTTAATATACAACAGAGAAGTAATATGAAACGGATAAGTAAGACAAACATAATTTACAAAGCATTATGACAGAAAATTATAACAGTCACGCAATAATATTGTAGATTCTGGTGGAGGAGGGTGACATAGTTAACAATTGAACTAACCTCAATAGGTGACCGACCTAACCAGTGGACCAAAAAGACCACCTTCGCCATCCCGTTATATTAACACTGTTGTGGATGCGGAGGAATAGACCAATAATTATCATGTTAAGTCCAATGGTGTCCTTGGACTTTAAATGGACATTTCCTATTGGTCGATATCTGTTCACTTGTTGAATATTGTACAAAATGTTGTTTTCTATTTTATGGTACGATGTGGTATGCTTGATTGGTATATAAACAAAGTATGTTTGAAATATAATGATTCATCACTCAGAGGCTGTGACTTGTGTTCTTGACTCAATTGGCTAGGACAGTCAACGAAGCAGGGCCAATCAGGGCACTGGGACGTCGCTACGTGTTTACGTGTCACTGTCCACTGTAATCGATCGATATAACGCTGCTTATCAAAACCTGCAGTCCCACACCCGTTACAACAAACACAAAGGTTAATACAGGTCACCTGGCCTTCCATTCATGCCTTTGAAGATTGAAGGCAACAATTTATTATTACGAATATCTTAGTCTACCATTTGATGTATATCATTTATGTCCATAACAAAGAAATCCCGTTATATGAGTTCGAGCTCCGCAGAAAGCATCAGTTCTCTATATTTAATAATTATTTTTCTGGATAACTGTTTCTCCTTATTTATGGGCTACACTATCTTTTAGTGAACCTTATTGTTCATCGTTCATATTATTCTTCAAGATTAATTTTCAGCTCTACTTACAGATATATTTTGTGTTATATGATTATCTTTTATGGAGACAGTGAAGAACTGTTTGCAAAGGACTAACCATTTTGTTCTTATCATATATGGTGATGTGTAAAATTTGAGGTGTTGCCGTTTTGCAAACGCGTCATCCCTTGATTGTTGTGTTAATCAAGTGCCGATGATCGTATTCTCATCACGATTGACAAAACTTTGACAAGAATTTAACCTGAGCGAAAATCTGAGACCGCTTCCTTCATGACTAAGAGTTGTGGTTTTTGAAAGTGAGGTTACATGTACTTGGTTGTACATGTTTTCTCACCATTATTCACAAAAGGTGGAACGAATTAGTGACCAATGTTGAAATTAAAAACAGAATAGTATAGACAAATATCAAATCAACTGATGAGATGAGCGGGACAAGTGTCGCACATATTCAACCACAACCTACATTAACGTGTAACGCTGACATGAGTAGATTCGAAGAAAGCTAGAGCAGATCAAAATAAAACTTATGATGAGCCTATAAAGTCATTAACTGTCGACCTAAAACGTGTTGTCACGTGAAGCCTGTATGTTTGGGGTACCCGCACTGACGGTGCTGAGTATTCGGTGACATCATACGATAAAGTCCAGAACCAGTTAAAGTGAGGCAGATGAATTCACTTTTTGTCTTCCCCTAAATCTTGACTTTCATCACTACTTCATACTTTTTATTACTTGAGAAAATTTTCTGATCTCAACCATATTTTGTATGTTTAGTTTTCTTACTATCAAGGATAATGTTATTTCGGGCCCTTGGCTGATTACTCATCTTTTTAACTTTATTTTTATGTAGTTAAATCATGTAGCAACTTGTGTCGACGCATATGGATGCCATGTTCTGTGTTGAATACAGCTGACTTCTCATAATAGAAACGATCGACTTCCACCGTGTTATGACTATAAAACTTAAAAATTAATTAATTTCACAGGTTGAAATCATGAGTCAGTTGAAGCTAGACCACCATTGAAAACCTGGAAGCACTGGACGGCCGTTTCCTGGGTTCGAATCCCGCAGGGGGCGGGTTCGTGGATGCGCACTGCTGAGGAGTCCCATACTAGGACGAAACGGTCGTCCAGTGCTTCCAGGTTTTCAATGGTGGTCGAGCTTCAACTGACTCATGATTTCAACCTGTGAAATTTACTAAAATCTCCACAAAACTCATTCTGATAGTTAATTAATAATTACTAGTATAGGGGTTGTGGAGATTACTAAGTTTTTGATTGAGATCATGAACCGATTGATGTTAGACCATCACACTTGAAAACCTGGGAGCACTGGACGGCCGTTTCGTCCTATTGTGGGACTCAGCAGTGCGCATCCACGATCCCGCGAGCGGGATTCAAACCCAGGTCCTTCGGCCTCGCGCACGAACGCTTAACCAACTGGACCACTGAGCCGGCACCCAATGGCATCCAATTAATAATTAATGAATAACTTGTTTTCAAATATACTTGAATGTTGACTGGAGAAAAACATCCGGTTACTAACATGAAAAATAGGTTATATTGAGAAAAATCAAATCTAACAATATACATTATAACAGAACAACTGAATGATAGTATAAATAGTGATAAAAGGTAACCGGTGGAAAAATTATGTTTGTCGTTTTCTTCAACATAATAGACAAAAGTGAGGTTTTAATTTTGAGAACAAGCCTAATGATGTGTATTAAGGGATCAAAGTTATTCGAAATAAACTGAAGAGTTCTAAGTATTCTTAAAAATTCTAAGAAAAAATGATACTGACAAATATTTTAATAGTTGAAATCATGAGTCAATTGAAGCTAGACCGCTATTGAAAACCTGGAAGCACAGGACGGCCGTTTCTTCCTAGTATGGGACTCCTTATAATCTCCACAAAACCCCTTCTGATAAAATATTTTAATAGCAAACTAGGTATTACCATAAAAGAACTATTTATAATAAGTATTTATGATATAATATATAAACAAATGACAAGAGTATTAAAACTATAAAGGATAATACAAATAATATTATCATACCTCCATTCACTTGATTTGTATCCAAATTTAGATGTATGGCTAGACCGAAACCGCCAAGTTTTACAGGTGCTGAATTCTCTTTACTTGCTAAGACAACACAATGTGGTTTTAAATCACGATGAATAATATTATTCTCATGACAATAATGTATAGCTTCTAGAATTTGTCGTAGATAATGACTAAATTACATAAATAGAAGAGGAATGAACTTTTGATACATGTTTTCTTAGTAAATAAATATTAGAATAATCGTGAGGAAGGCCTATATCTAGGTTTCGAGTAAGTTGACACCCTTTATCAAGACGTGTCTGAAATCTCAAGGGAACTGATTTACACGTGGGATTGGAACCTGGGTCAATCAGCTTCACATTCAAAGGCATTACCATTGAGTCACTCGGACTGAGACTGACCTCATGTACTGGTTGTGAGATCATGGATTAGGAAACTGGTTGACCTGGGCTCGAATCACACAGGAATTATCAGTTCTTTCAAAACTGTAGGCTTTCCTGCCCATTATACCTAAACACAAAAAGATGATAAGACTATGTTTAACATTTCAGCTATAAAGAGTACAGTTAATATAATTTGTTCAGTGTAAGTGATTTAAAGCATACACAATCATACTCAAACTTTTAATCTTATAGTTAGAAAGTAGATCTACTTGTTATTGATCATGATACTAGTTAGAATGCTAATGAGGCGGTATATCAGTTCTCTTAAGACAGGATAAACTTGACTAGCGATTATAAACGAGCAAGAACTTTCCTTACGACTGCATCAAAAACCACCTGATGCCACACAAAGTACACTATGATGTTGCGTTACCTAGAATCAAGTCTATACTGGCTATACGGAAATTCGATTGCGAAATAATACAACGTTAGTTACTACTCAGTGATTAAAAATTTTAGGTACTTCAGTTCTATAGAAAGTCAATCAAGACACAATTATATTAATAGCAGAGGTCCTAACAGAGACACAGATTGATACATATTAGTATGCTAGGCGGACGTATCAATTGCATTGATTTTGTAGATATTTCTTCTTGATAAGCAGTAAATAGTACAATACTTGGGTTCACAGCTTTTATCAAACACCTAACATTCACTACTTCATTACAGATATGTTAAATGTCACGTAAATATCTACATTCAGATTACAGATATATTTACTTCAAAACATCAAGGAAAGAATACAGCCAGAGTAATTCATGATAATACAACTAAATAACTTTGTAACTAGATAAATGACAATCATTGCTAATCCTCTTAGTAGTATACAATATACTGAAGTACAAAATGACATACTAACCTTGCCACTGCTTCACTATAAACAAAGCCAGCTGTTGCACGTTTCACAATTTCAAATGCCAAATCAGCACCTTTCATACTTTAAGAAAAGAAAAGTATAATTTTAAAGCAATTAGATTTCCTGTGATTAATCCTTGTGCTTATTACAGTTAGATAATCTACGATTTGGTTTCATGATCATACCAAACAAGCAATCTTAGACAAAAAACCTAATAAAAAAAGATGAATAGTGGCTAGCAATGTAATCCAGGATGCGCGCCACTTCATCCTATTTGCCACTCGTCAGCTGGGTGTACCTGCATCTCACAGTTGATGTTCAATCTGGGACTAGAACCCAGTACCGATCGCTTCAAACGCTATTGCGTTATCCACTTAACTACTGAGTCCTGATAGCCACCTGCTTGTGCAATGGGGCGAAGTTTAAATTCACTTGGTGTTATTTTACTTGTATCTTCCCATTGTTATTTAGGATTGCAATCGATCAGAAAAAAAACGTTGAAGGTCAAATGGTCGATTGTTTTAATAACATCCATTTCTACTAATCATATAAGTTTATCTAGAACCAAATATTGTTAAAATATTTTCTATAAAAGTAATTATTTTTTTATAGTTGAATTCACGAGTCAATTGAAGCTAGACCACAATGGAAAACCTGGAAGTACTAGACGGCCGTTTAATCCTAGTATGAGACTTCTCAGCAGTGCGCATTCACGATCCCGCCTCGCGAGATTCGAACCCAAGGAATATCACAGTCTTGCAAGTGAGCGCTTAACCTCCAAACCGTTCAACTATTAAATTACTATAATATCCACAAAACTCGTCTTTGATTATAAATATTAATCATCTTAAATGTCATAAAGAATGTTCTCAAGATTATAAATTCCTTGACAACTCTATAAATAAACGTTATTCCGTTTCACACAAAAACAGATAGTAGCTAGCAGTGAAATACAGGATACGCGTTTTGTCCTATTTAGGACTTCTCCAGGATTCCACTGCTAGCCATTATCCGTCTTAGCATATAATGCTTGTAAATTAAGGCTATATCAAGGCAATATGCATAGAATGCACATATGCCAATAAGAGACTAATCAATTGTAGTCCTAAATATCAATGGAAACATTCAAACAAACAATACCAAGTGAAATTATTTTGTTTCTTGTTAACAACTGGACAAAATTTATTTACCATAGATGTAAAAAAACATACTGTTTATAAAAATTAGATAAAGTTAGAAAATGTCAACTAAGTTGATTGATTTAATGGGTATATAGTTGCCGTGATATCTGACAGTTTTAATTTTATTCTTATGTATAAACTATGACTGAAATGTTATTGATTATTCTGGTTTATTGTGTTGCTTAAACTGAAATTCAGTTGTAGCTAATTCTTTTTTACAATTAAAATAAACATTTTCTAAATTAAAACTACACAAATAATCAGAGAGGGATATCATGGATATTATAGTAACTTTTAATGGTTGAATTCATGAGTTAGTTGACGTTAGACAAGAATGGAATACCTGCAAGCATTGGATGGCTGTTTCGTCCAAATATGGGACCCCTTAGAAGTGTTTATCCATACCGGTCTAGCTTCAATTGACTCATGAATTCATCTATTAAATTACTATAATATCCATAAAAGCCCTCTCTGGTTATATTCATCATATTCTTACTAGTGACGGTCTCCTGGAGTTCTAGTGAGAAGCAGTGACCAATGGAGTTCGACCGGGTCTGTTGTGTGATAGTAACTCACTGAAGACAATGGTGGATGTGTCGCTCGATTTCATGGATTGGCTGAAGTTAGACATTAACAACGTTAGATACCGGCCGGCTCAATGGTCTAGAAGTTAAACTTTCGCGTGCGAGACTAATAGGACCTGGGTTCGAATCTCGCAAGGTAGGATGGTGGATGCGCACTGCTGAGGAGTCCCATACTGGGAAAAAACAGCCATCCAGTGCTTCCAGATTTTCCATGGTGGTCTACCTTTCATTGACTCATGAATTCAACTATTAAATTACTATATATACACATATGTCATAATGGAGATAACGGTCTGAAATTACAACTTTGGAGAGACTGTGACACGAAGAATTACTATTGACATTTTCATTGTGTAATTAGTAGACGGTTGCTATGTTGTATTTTTAGATATTCCTATTTATAAGCATTCGTTTGACTTATAAATAGTTATAATGTCTCATGGTTCTTAATTTATCGTTGATTATTTCTCCATTACTCTAGTTTTGTATTACTGATGACTGTGTTATGTACATATTAGAATTCTTTAATCGTGTTATTGTGTGATTAAAACTTTTTGGTATATCATCTTATAACTTTCGAGTCATTATTGAATAGAATACAACATAGAACTAATCTCTGTTTTATCATCTTCTTCTAACTAGGCACTATGCTAAAAGAAGCTCAAGGACTAATAAGCATCAACGCCTTGGTTGTTGTTTACTGCTCGGTGTGTCAATTGGCTAATAGGTCGCCAGCTCCATTGAGAATATAAGCTAACTAGTCGATAGTCGGATTAGATAGAGAGATGAGTCATACAACTGCTTTTCCTACAAATATATCCTGACCACACAGACCCCAATGGAAATGAAGCTTGTTTCCGGTCGTATCAATATTTTAGAAAAAATTGTATTATTCATAGTAATTCACGTCTTCTTTTTGTTTATATTTAATAATTAATTTCGATCAGTCTCTGTCGGAATTGTGCACACTTTAGTGGATATATCAATTTTCTCCTGTAGTAACGAACTCATAATAACATAAAATGTCATAAATACTGAATCAGTTAGTATCAATTTGGACGTAGTAGCTAAGTAGATAACACATTAACACTTGGAGATTTAGGTACCAGTTTCGTATCTTAGTGTAAATATCAACACTGAAGTACACTTACGTTGAGCTTACAAGTTCTGAATTAAACGAAACACGCGTCCTAAATTCTACTGATATTAAGACATAAAAGATTCTAAGTAAGAGAAGAGAATTCAATGTAGCAGAATGTATTCATTTTAATAAAAATTGTTTTTCTTTTTAACATATTGCTGAATAATTCGGTTGAAAAGTTAATTTTATTAGCAATAAGAAAACCGATAATATACCAGTTAAATAGATGTTGAAAAAGCATTTATATGAACGTATCTTTAGATGACTTCAGTTTTTTTCCGTAGATGGAGTAGTAAGACAAGCCATTGAAATCATGAACCAATCAATTTGAGACCACCAGTAATAACCTGAAAGAACTGAACGACCGTTTCGTCCTAGTATGGGACTTCTCAACAGCGCGCATTCACGATCCTGCACTCAGGACTCGAACCAAGAACACTCGGTCCCACGCGTACGCTTAACCTCTAGACCACTGAGGATAGAGTACCTATAATAGGCTCCCTCATATGTGTTTACCAACCCAACTGCTCTTGGGAAGATAGTTACATAAGCTGTACTCAAATAAATTTACTCTCGTGCTCGTAAACATTTACTGTGATGAATAGACAAAGACTTCACAAAATTTATTAACACCGCCATTCTTTCACGCTTGGTAGATAGTGAACATATTAAAATAGATCAAGCCTTCGCAATTTTGTATCTCAAAAAATCTACCCCAATGATCAAGATTATGACTCATCTACGTAGCAGAAGTCATGGAGAACAACTGTAAAAGACCTGACTTACGTTTCCAAAAGAAGTATGTTCGAACTTTATTTTTACCTTGATTCACGGCTGGATCACTACATATTTAACCTATATACTGTAAACCTCAGCGGAGGGAGAAATCAGAAGAAGCGCTGGAAGTAAATAGGACATACATTAAGGAAAGCACCGAACTGCATCACAAGGCAAGCTCTCACTTGTAATCACCAAGGCCAAACGAAGAGAGTAATACGAAAGAACAAATTACGCTGAGAAATGAAGACAGACATGAGAAGAATGAACAAAAATTGGATAGAACTAGAAAGGAGGGCCCAGGACAGAGTGACTTGGAGAATGCTGGTCGGCGGCCTATGCTCCTTTGGGAGTAACAGGCGTAAGTAGGTAAGTAAACATTGTAAACGCTTGTTACCAATTCCCTTTATATTTATATCTGCTCTGCCCCGTTCCAAATCCACAGATTCATTTTTTTCAGTTCACATGAATTTCTCATCGCAATCCCCTTGACAATACCTCTCTTATTATATCTACACAATGTTATTATTATTATTTTATTATATTGAATGTAATTTGACTCCTCACAGTAAATTCTCCTACCCATTTATAACTTACAAATGATATATATTCGAAGTAATTAAGCTGTAACAGATGCAAACGTTCAACATCTTATTTTTAAAACTTATAATATTGTTTAATTCATTAATACATCTCCTATTTTAGCCTTTGTATTTCACAATAATTATGGATTGTAGAGTAGAATGGTGAAATTATTGAGGACACTTATTCATTTCAATCTTCTTTACTTTCGAATATTCTATGAAAACTTTTAAATTGCTAAATTAGATGTTCACTAACCGGTAACCCTGAAAAAGATTAAATCATAGTTCCATTTTATTTTATTCCCTTTGGCTCAGAATCGATCACATTGGCATAGGTGTATACACATTTTGTCTTCATTTAAACTATGAGATTAAAATCGCTTCATATCCTTCTTTCTACCAACTAGTTCTTTCTTCCCGTATATCTTTATACACAATCTACCATTGAAGTAACTACTTTAATGAATTCGGTGTTCATCTTGTTGTGCTAATGAGTTATGGCAACTTGGACCGATGCATATATGTGCCTGGTCGTACGATATAGCCAACTGGTTGACTTATTCCCTTGAACACCATAAAATCCGTACGAAAGAAAAGAAAGCAGTGATGAAAAAAAAACTTACTATTCAAATATCATGTATAACATTCCATCACTACTGTAAGTTTCTACTAATTCAACAATATGTGGATGCTTCAATAAGTGGCATATACTCGCTTCACGTTTTAAATCTGAATTGATGAAGAAAGAGAACAAAGAAAAATTTATCAGAAACAAGTAATCATAGTCAGTAGAGAATTTCACTATCATATAAAGTTTAGGAACATTTTAACCTTCTTTTAAAGCTTTTTTAAGCAAAGATGGTTAGTGGCTAACAGTGGAATCCAAGACGCGCGTTTCGTCCGCACACGATGCACATATGCAAACAAGAGACTGATCAATTGCAATCCTAAATAACAATGGGAAAGTACAAGTAAGATAACACCAAGTGAATTTAAACTTCACCCCATTGCACAAGCCGGTGGCTATCAGGACTCAGTAACTAAGTGGATAACGCGATAGTGTTTGAAGTGAACGGTACTGAGTTCGAGTCCCAGAGTGAACATCAACTCTGAGATGCAGGTACACTCAGCTGATGAGTGGCAAATAGGATGAAGTGGCCCGCATCCTGGATTACACTGCTAGTCACTATCTATCTTTGCTTAAAAAGCTTGTGACTTAAGGCTATATCGAGGCAATCCGCACAAGATGCACATATGCCAATAAGTGACTGATCAATTGCAGTTTTAAATAACAATCGGAAGATATAAGTAAAACAATAGCAAGTGAATTCTTTTAAAGTGTTTAGAACTGCTTTCCTTTTCAATTGACATAGATCAAAAACGTTTTTTTCGAAATTTAGAATTAAATGATTAATCATAGCTTGATTTCATAACATACTTCATCAACACCCATCCAATATCAAATACAGGAATCAAATTCAGAATCTTTAGGTCTATTTTTGTATTTAGATTTGGATTTATATTGTTATTATATGTTCACTTTATCAAGCAACTGAATTATATACATGCTTGTGGCTGCTGCGTTGACATGGTGGGTTGGGCTATCCATTGTGGTGATCCAGTTGGGATATATTGGCTGGAACATTTATTCGTTTACACCCTACCTTACCTATCAGCTTGGTTGTAGTATGGTAAGATTAAAAGCATCAACTTAAGGTTCGAAGGAGAAGTCGTACTGCTGGTTGTATTTTATAATGTGGAGGAATTAAGGTATTCTTCTCCAACAAAAAAACAGTAGTGATTTTTCTTCCGCACAACGGAAAAACGGAATCAGGAAAGATCGGTACCGAAGTTGCTACATGTAACTTCGCCCACGGATTTTCACTGCTGGCAGTAAGATCTTGGAAGTAAGGAACTAACACATCAAGAACTCACTAAGAATTCATGTATGACCGGTCTCAATCAGTTGTCCCTTGAACTCAGTGATTACACTTCCAGATCGCCAAGATCAGTATTAATCCACTTTTCTTTTCATGTACCTTAAGAAGAAGTATCCTAACAAGGTGTCGGCAACTACACACTACAAGGAACACTTAAAACTGAACCACTCACTAACGAACTTAATTAAGCCTCGACTGTATACGCTTTAATGAAATTTCATAAATTGTAAACGAACAAATATTTCTTTATACTTTAATCAAACCGTTTAAGGAAAAACTCTACTTCACCTAAGCTAAAAATCTTCTCTATCATCTCGAAAAACTCTACTTTCTGCAAATATATTGTGACTAATGAATTTCCAAACAACTATAAATCAAATTCACTTAGTGTTGTTTTACTTGCATCTTCCAATTGTTATTTAAGACTGCAATTGATCAGTCACTTATTGGCGTATGTGCATCATGTGCGGATTGCCTCGATATAGCCTTAGGTCACAAGCTTTTTAATCAAAGATGTATAGTGGCTAGCAATGAATATCAAGCAGAACGAAAGGGAAATTTTTTTAACTAGACAATTTTAAACTCTTAAACTGTTTGAATAAAAACTGAGATTCTGTTTTGGAAAAATTGAATCCCAGAAGTTGATTATGAAAGTCATATCTAATTATTCAATGAATATGTATTATTATTATGAATGGCTTTATTCAATATTATAGTTTGGTACAATATAGAATTCTCAGCACAGGGTATTTCAACAAGTTGCTTGCGCAAAAAAAAACGGTGACAAAGACAAAAAAAAGGTTAAAAATAGCGAAAAACTGTACAACTTTTCAAATTAGAGACATGATAAGGATGAAGGTTATTGACTAGGTTAACTCTAACAACCTGTTCGTCACAGAGTATATTTGCTAGATAAGGTATCATAGAACTTTTATACTTTTATTTGCGTGCATGGATTTTAATGTATTGACGTCTTGTTCTACCAGAAGATATACAAGGAGAAAGATAAGAGTGAAGGGGATGGTTAGTATCTGATAAGATAACACCTGCCAGGAGTTTGCATAACTTTAGTTGTCCATCCACAACCATATTAATTATGACCTCGAAAGATTCATCACACACCTTGCTGACTGCCTTCAGCACTCTCCGCAATATATATATATATATATATATATATATATATATATATATATATATATATATATATATATATATATATATATATATTCTTTAGTGTATTATCAATGGTATTACTGGAAGATATACGCTGTCCAGTGTTTACGTATATTTTCGATTATTAGAATACTAGATACTGTAAATTAGGGTTTATAGTTGTTGTTATTGTTTTGTTTTATTTAGTTGAATTGTAAAGTAGTCCTGTCATATATATCACAAACTATAGATTCTTACATTTATGGTTAATTAAGTGTATATAAACAAATCTACAATTGTCCTATATGAGTGTGTAACATATTGGACTAAATTAATATCATAGGATTGCCTTTCTTTTTCTTGACGGTATTTTGTATAACTGTTGGTCTAGAAATGAACTGATTGTAATGTTTAGGATTCAGAAGGATATGAAATAGAATTTAAAATGTATAGGATTCTAAACAAATAAAGAATTACATATAAGAAAGCTTATTTAGATTTAAGTTTTACATAGCTACAAGGATTCACTTGTTAAGCTTTTATGTATCTATCTTGACTGTACAACTTATTTAAATAGCTATGGTTTCTTTGATATGCAGAATAATGTTATACAGGTTAGAATTTATGCTTTAAAAGCTTGATAACTAAAAATCTATGTCAATAACCTATAAGTATAAACTAATCAATTCAACAATTTCCTTGATATCATAAACAAGAAGCAGGTTATCAAGATTATAATGCATTAGTTGATATTTATTAATTCCAGTGTTTTAGCTGTAGTTAAAGCACCTTTATGTGATGATTTCATGTTGTTAATGAAGTCGGTCAAGTTCTATACTACTAACCGTAGGCTTTTTAAGACTTATCAACATAGTATTTTTTCTAACGATTCCATGAATTGCTTTTATCATTATAGGGTTGTGGAGATTGTTAAGTTTTTGATTAAGATCATGAACCGATTGATGTTAGATCACCATTGTTAGCCTGAAGGCCCTGAATGGCTATTTCTTACTATTGTGAGACTCCTGAGCAGTGCGCATACACGATCCCGTTCACGGGATTCGAACCCAGGACCTTTTGTCTCGCTCGCGAACGCTTAACCTCTAGACCACTGAGTCAGCATCTAATGGTGTTAATGTCTAACCTCAACCAATCGGCGCACTTCTGAAGAGTCTAACAATAGGACGAAACAGTCATCCAGTACTTCCAGGTTTTCAATGGTGGTCAAACAACAATCGGTTCATGATTTCGATCAAGAATTGGTTTGACTTCGACTTTACCATCCTTTGGTATAATCCCTTGAATTGGTGAATCAATATGCAAGGTTTTTAATGTTACTGCAGTTCATCGAGTATAATAATATCACGGACGAAGCAATGTTCATATTAGATGATAAGTTTCATGCAAGTTGGTCAGCTTGTGATCTTCCATTGACTTGGGGATCTTCAGATGGAAGATGTTGAAATTGAAGTAGGTTAGTAATGAAGAAGTCTAATTATGGACAGAACAACCTATGATACTTCCTTTTGAAGTTGGCAACTACTAGTTTAAGTTTTGTGGAGGAGGACGGCAGGTTAGGTCATTAAGATGGAAATCAGTGTAAAAACAAACTGGTACGACTTTAAATCAATTGTAGAGTCCCCAAACGTTCTGAAACACCTGAGGATGAGAAGAGCCTGTTCAACTTCACTAAACGCTCTTCTGTTTCCATGAGTATATAGTATCTGTCAAGAAAGTCCTAGTTACTGTCTTCGCATGGTAATGTTTTCTATGATGGTGAGATGACAAATAGATAAAATTCGGCGCTTGAGCAGGTTTAGTAGATACGGAAGATCTACGCAGGGCGGTTGGAAAAACCTTGTTTCCAAACCATTGATGTACATAGGTTCCAGGATCCTGAGAGGATGAAAAGTGCATAAACCTATTTTGGTCTTAAACTACCATGTGCCTGCATATCCTGATGTTGCCGCATTCCAATGTGGATTAGACCTTCCAAGCAAGAGTCTAGGTTTAGGAATCCATGTAATATCTGATCCCACAAACAATTATTTTAACAAATAGCTATGTAAAAATTGTTCTGAACATTACAACAAAATAGTTGACCAATAAATCATAATTGTCCAATCCTTCTATAATCGATATCACTGATAACAATGAAAATAATGTACCAGATCGAGAAAATTCTCCTAGTAGAAACGAAATTGTAATGTCAGTAATTATTATTCAAGTATGTATAATGATCGATTTAGTGGTCTAGTGGTTAAGTGCTCGCACGCGAAACCAGTAGATCCTGGGTTCGAATCTCGCAGGGGGAGAGGTCATGGATGCGCACTGCTGAGGAGTCTCACAATGGAACGAAACGGCCTTCTAGTGGTTCCAGGTTTTCCATTATGGTCTAACTTCAACTGACTCATGATCTTAACCATTGAAGTTACTATAATATCCACAAAACCTATCTGATATTAGATTTTTCTAACAACGATTACTTATTTAAGCTTGGAACAATAATAAAAGTTATTTTTTTTTACGCTCTTTGAATTAGTTTCCAGTTCATTACTTTCATATAAAAACTCAATAAATTAACTTAATGGTAATAGTAAGTAAAAATCGAACTAAATCTTATCGTCAGAAGAGAGGATTTCTTCTTCTCACATTTTCTTTCTTTTTTTCATCTCATTGATGCTGAGCACATGGATGGATGAATGTGTGTATATGTGTGTATGAATGAAAGTATAAATAACAAAGTGAGTGTAAGATAGACAGGTAGATAGACAACGTTAGTAACCATATTTAAGCATTATGTCAATATTTAAGAAAATGGGGAAGGAGGAAAAAAAGGTTTCCCTTAAAAAAACAAAACAAATTGACCGACATTTTTCCAACGATACACACGAATATATGAGGAGGAAAAACAACTGTTATAAATGGGGGGAATAAGGTCAATAGATAGTTTCGATAGTTAGACAATATATAAAGGTATATGCACTCACATTTGTACGTTTACAAAACCTTACAGATAGGAATTAAGATATCCATTGAAATCATTCAATGAAGAAATTGTTTTGACGATATAATTTTAATAAAACCTAAGTTTGGAGTAACAAATTGTCAATTATTAAAAGACAAAAATGTGGGTTCAATACTTATTACTTAATATCCAATAGAAGGAAATAAAAAAAACAAGGGATATTTGAGCAAACATATGTTTCTATAATAATGTCTAAGAAAGACAGTATAACACAGTCATGATTCTTTTAATGAATCACTTGGTGTTATGTATAGATTGAAAAGAATTAGAACTAATGTTGATAGTGTTATAAGCAAAGATGGATAGTGACTAGCAGTAGAATCGAGGATGCACGTTTTTTCGTATGTAGGACTAGTTATATCGATGTACTTACATTTTAGAGTTGATGTTCGATACAAAATTTGAACTCAATACCGTTCACTGAAAACGCCATAGCGCGTTATACGCTTAGCTACCAAGTCAAGATAGCCACTAGCTTGTGCAATCGCCTTAACTTTAATTTATCGTGTGTTAGTTATTTTAATTTTATCATTGTTGTCTATGTCTGCCATTTATCAGTCTCCTGTTAGTATATGTGGATAGTGAGAGTATCCTTTTGATATGACTTTAAATTACAAGCATTATAAACAGCTGAAAAGTTCAAAATAGGACAAAACGCGCGTCCTAGATTCCACTCTTAGCCACTATCCATCCCTGTTTATAATGCTTGTAACTTAAGGCAATATTGACGTCATCTGCACAGAATGTATATATGTCAATAAGAGTCAATGCGAGGATTCAAACATCCAATGCAAAATGAATTAATGTGAAGTTATTTAGATAGATGATTTCTGGATTTGTGTACATCCATAGTGTACGACCACATATTGTAACTATTGTGAGTTGCAATTAATGATGATAAATGATTTGGTTGAGAAACAAGCGCGCACTTCGGCTATACTGGACGCAACTTTAGAATAATAGTAGGTATATTGCTTTTACATTTTAGCATTTAAAATACTGTTGATTTAACTTTGGAGACCATTTGTCTTGTCGTTCTATATTTGAAAATATATAACTTCTTTATAAAAAGAAATTACAGTGATACTTATTTTATAGTAGTAAGCTCCTCGGTTTTTTCATTTATTCTTCTTGCAGTGTGTTCAGAATATGTGAGCATCTGATCCCTTGATTAAAAACCTGAATAAAACTTATTTCGAATATAGCTGTTATATGCCGATGAGAACAACGAATGGTAACTTTTGGAACCCATTTATGGACTAGTACTATGCGTATATTTTTATCGTATAATTGTTAAATGACTAAACTATTTATATTCGTGTTTCTCTTATCATAAGCTTTATTTCGATCAATGAAATGTTATTATACGATTTACCATTCTTGAGTTATACTGTGTCTATCAATTACTATCTCCCTTATTCACAGCCACATTTGGCTAATTCTTGTACAAATGTTGTTTCCTATTTTGTGGTACAATGTGGTCTGTCTTGTTGGTAAATAAGCCCAGTATGTTTGAATTACATGATTCATATTTCAGAGGATGAGATTACTGTTCTGGAATTAACAGGCTGGGCTAGGCGGTAAGCAGGACCGATAAGGACTCTAGACTGCTTGTACGGGCTTTCACGAGTCATTGGTCTGATCGACAACTCACTGTTCTTTAATTGGCGGTATCATTACGTTATACATTAACAAGGCACACAGGCCACAAGTTATAACAGTAGCCAACGGTACAAATAGACCAAAACTAAAGAACCATTGAGAACGATAGAGTTGTTTAATTCCTATGTTATGAAATCTAAATACGGTTTTCACTCATAACTCTAGCAGGGTTATCGACCTCGTTGTTGCTCTCTAGCTACTGATCCTCAATCAAAAGCTCTATATTTTCACTTGTGATCAATTCTTAATACATCAAAATAATCTTCCAATCAGTCAATTGATAACTTTTTTAGATCAGATATGACGACTCAGTTAATCATAGCTTCTCCGTAAGAATCGTGAGGATTAATTTTGAAACTAATTACCTGTGAATAAGGTGTAAGAAGAGTTTGTAAGGATTCACTCGATGTAAGTTAATTTTTATTTTGCAATAAAGTTTTAACGTATGTACATGGCCGAATATTACCTAGTGAAATTATCCTTTCAAAATATGTGTTTTTATATAAGTGCATTCAATATTTCAGTGAAATGAATCCCAAAAACGATACAAAATTTTAGAATTCGTTCACTCAAAACTTTTATGGGTATATATCTTACATTAGATATCGTGATAGAATATTTATGGATTAATCACTCTAAAGTCTGAGGAGGAGGTTACTAACGATAAATCTTCATTTATTATCTACTATAAAAATGTAAATTTCCCCGTTGTTGACGTTCAGAACTAGAATGTTAAGATGAAATCCTCGTCCTACATTCTCGAGATAACCATAACTCAAAAATATAATAAAACTTGTATCTATGATCAGTAATGAGTCATCCACTTGTAGTTCATGTACGTTAACAGAGACAGATCAAATAAAATCTTGAATATTAACAATGGAAAAATAAAGACCCTCGAAAATATTATTACATCCACTGAACCAGCTGATGGCTATCTAGACCTAATAACGTAAAAGAGTAACGCATTGGAGTTTCAAGCTAAAGTCACAAATGTAAATACTGACGAACTGATTGAACTCGGCGCAAAAACAAGGATCAATGACTGGAAACGTTTTTAACCTATCTTATTGGCAAACACATTCATTTCACATCTTCTAAAACTTTAGTCCATTATCTCAACACAAATATTTTCTTATTTCCAACTGGCGATAAGACAAGAAACCAACTAACAGTCGATCTTAACGTTTTTTCCCAGCTTAGTCTAATCTATAATTTCAAATACCAGATTAACAACTGCATATTTTAACCAACATATTGTTGAAAAGTAGTTACCTGCTGTAGAAAGTCCTGGACTACTTGTAAACTTTACAACATCAACTATTTTAACTGCATACTCAGTACCAGTATCCCTACGAGTACATCGTCGTATAACGCTGAAAGGCCCTCTGAAAAATATGTGACAAAATATAGTGATTAATAAAAGGGTAAAACACGAAAATAAGTTGCTTAGAAGAATGAACTATACACCTCTCTCCCAACATTGTTATGTACATAGATTAGTCTGTTTTAAAGGAAATATGAGGTATGATCGACTGTAGTTTGCATGTATTTGGGGACAGAAGACCTCGACCTAACGATCATATACAGTGAGATCATTGAACAATCATTGTTCAATCTAGATGTTTAGTCCTGAAATGGTAATTCGGACAATTATTGCATCTGCATTGCCACACTGATCTAGATAATTGAGTCTGTTTAACAACCATTTGAGTAATGCCCACTAAGTTGATTAGTTCTAGGTTTTCCATAATATTTCCACAGAACCTAATAAGGCTGTGGGGTTTTTCCCTAAACTTTTCACAAACTTTGGGGTAAACTACCATATTTATTACGACTTTGGGGGAAAATCCCAAAACTCCAGTCGCAATGAGTGACGCACAAGACACACCTAATTACGTTTCTTAGACGTAACAATGGAAACAGGTGTGTGCACAAATTTATAAGTCTTAAGTTCATAAAGAAATTGCAAAGTCATAACCAATCTCCCTATTTTGAGGAAAATTTGGGGAATTTCTGGAAACTTTCTGGGTTTTCCGCAAAGTCGTGAAACGACTGGCAGTTTTTTCCAAAGTTTCCTAAAATGTGGAGGAAAACCTCAGTGTTATAAGGTTAAAGGGAAATATTGAAGAAAAAAGAATATTCCCCAAACATTTTGGATATTTTTCAGGACTTTCGAAAATTTTGGAGGTTCTGTCCCACTTTCCAAAGATTTCTTAAGAGTTTTATATTGCGGCTTTCCCAAGGTTTATCCAAAAGGGACAACAATTTCCTCGAAATAAGGAGATTGGCTAAATGTCAAGATCGCAAATTTTTCTTAAGTCGTACCGAAATTAAGTCGACGAAACTAAGCGCACAAAAATGAAGCAGAAAGAAACTTCACAGAGTTTTGGTTATCATCAGCGCTTCCAAAATAAAGCTACACTACATAACGTTTGAAAAATTCAAATTATTCCCCGTTTCATTAGAAAAACACTACCTAATGCCTGCGGAAAAAGTTAAAACACCACGATCTTTCAACTTACTTCCCAATAATTTCATGAAGCTCATATACGTCATCGAAAAGAGCATCACTCTCGCTCATCCTGAAACACCTTTGAAAGCGTGCCTTTGCAAGGTTGCTTCATGAACTCCTTATGGATACAGTACAACAAATACATAAGTTTAAATTCAAGTTTGAAAGTCAAATATATGGACGTCCTTGTTAAAGATTTTCTAGAACAGTTATTGAATTGTTCTAAAAGGTACATTAACTCAAAACTTTGTTGCTCGATAAGCATTTATGTTAAAATTGGCATATGACTTCAGATCATAGGGTACAAACACAACCTTGGGTACCTCTAGAGTGGAGTTACCAAATTGTATTCCTAGTCTACGACATATCACAGATGAGCCACTTCATACTTTTCAGTGTTAAAAGTAAGTCAGTTGTTGTCCGCCCAGCTTTGAAGTCGAGTTCGATTCTCCTTAAAAGTCAGTTTATCATCTTAGTTGCAAACTTACCTCCAGATTTTCACATCATCATGGAAAAGTGATAAATCGCATGTCTCCTGCTGAGTAAAGTCGTTTATAAAACTTAAGAAAACAAGAGTTACGAGTATTGAAACTTGCAGGAACATTCTATAACATTCCATAGTCTGAAAAAGAATGAGATCTAACTCGCTTTCAAAAAGTTGATTATTTAGGCGTGAAGTAAGCCACTCCAACATCAATGACTTGGTGCTTAATCGTTTGAGCTTATTGATGAGACACATAATTGGTTATATAAAAGGCCTTCAAGAAGTCAAGGTATGTGACGTTAATCTTCCTCATGCAATCAGGGGTGGTTGTCCATCTGTACACTGCGGTCAGTAAAATTTGGCTATACAGGACTTTTGCCTACCGAAGCCGACGAATGAGATTCTTTATCGCTGCAGGTTGCTTGTCGTTGCCGTGAGACGTTGCCATAAAGACGGGGAGCCGATATTGAGGAATTTTCATTTAATAATTCTTCGTTTTTAAATATGCAGTCTAAGATTGACGGAGTCTGACTTTTTCTCCAACGCGTTGCTAACTTCACATTCTAAAATAATCCCAGAACTTCAATGAGGTCAAGGAATCAAGCTTCAGTAGATTTATCACCTTCAATGTACGTATGTTCAGCAACATCGACTATGAGAAAACTGAATTTCATGGAGTCAAGATATGAATGCAGTCCAGAAAAGTAGAGTGAAATAATCTTTTCGTCATGTGATTGTTGTGCTGTATGTCATCAGTGAGCTTCCTGTAGACGTCACCATCAAGACACCTCGAAGTTTTAGACACTCTCATTGAGCACCTTACAGATTCATTATGACTGAACTTTTGAGTGTACACTTGATGTGCAATTGAGCAAGATCGTAGGTATATCGCTGCTACGCGCCCACCACTGTTTTTCTGATAATTAGAAGTATACAAACTATAGTACAATCAAGGAATCCTAGAAATAACGTGATTGGATCACGAAGAACTAGATAAGCGATAACGTATGTTAGTTCATACAAACACCACATCCACCACAGCTTAAACTGGAGTCTAAGTGTCTGTAACTGATTGTATGTCTTGTTCTTAAATTCGTCTTGTATCTGTACGACCGTGTATTGGATGCAGATTCTGTATGATCTATAATATGTTCATTAGTATTAGAATTAACAACCGAAATCGGAACAAACTTGTAGTGGCATTGGACAATAGCCACACAATCCACAAAGCTGTGAACACAAGACTACTCAGAAAATAGATATTCAATATTTAACTCGGGGAAATACCTAACAATGGAGAAGGCGCGAACAAGGAATTGAATGGACTGAAGTTGATCGAGTGGCATGGCTCGGCCATGCAGGCGTGGTCTCTGCTGAATGTTACCTTATATCTTCTATTCATATTAAATATATTGTTCCTTCTCTAGCCTAACCTTGTTCTACATAATGTACTGGTAATTGATACGATACAGTGAGTTGATGTAGTCGATGGTGTGACTTCCACGTAAGATCTTATAGATTAGGCAGTTATATCATGACAAATCTACAATTTCAGGATTAGGTCTATTATTAGAGCAGTACTAATATCATAGTAGACCATAATTCTACATTGGTGAGCCCATTTGAACTAAAGAAACGCAACCTATTATTGTCAATCTTTATTTCCACCTTAACCTTCTCAATCGGTTTTTATTTTTGTAAACCCAGTATTCTAATAGTCCTTTGATTAATGGTCACATATATTATCGTAATGTTATATCTATTAGTTCACATAACTTACTAGCTCATTCGATAATAAAAACTGGTCGTCTATATTAACTAATTAGCTTTGATGGTTCGTTAACAAGCTTTAATAGCATTTACATGCTTCAGCAACATAGGCTTGTTTAAGCATCAAGCTCTAGCAAATATGACCAGTAAATAACGCAAATATATATTGACTAACAATGCAGCAAGGACTAAATAGTTACCTGGATCTAATATTCAGTGTTCCTTATCTTATTACCTCATCCTGTTTTAAACTATGCACTATCCTGTAATGTCTTTTCTTCCGACCACTGCCTGCCTAATTTCAAATTTCGAGTTCCATTGCCAAACAACAAGGATGACACTTCTCTAAAAACATACGGTGAGTTTCAGCCATAAGTTTTCTGCAATCATAAGGTCATTTTAGATGGCTCGTTCAATGGTGACCGCACAATTATCTGAATTCATTCGGTTGTTCTAATCCGAGCGAGTGGCAAAAACGTCAACAGCATCAAGCACCCTGGAATTAATTGCCATACTGCATGTTTTATTCTGAATACTTTTGGATCGTTTCTACTCCTCACGAATGGCATTATACATGTCGTCCACTGAATAATCTAATTTTCAAAAATAACCCAGGCGACTTCAACTATTTTACTTAATGATTTTTTACTTAACATGTATATGTTTTCCGGTTCCTTTTGCCATATATTTGTAAGTGTCACTAAGCTAAATGCAGTAACTCCTTATGGAATGTTTATAACGCATCATATTCCTGCCTGAAGTTTCACAAGCAGTCTTAACTTTAAAACTATTTATCTGGTCATGTTCATTATTTTTAAATCGTCATATACGTCAACAACCTGCATGTTAACCTGGCCCATACATACGTAACACTATATCTTCATGTCTTCTAAATTTAGAAATAATCTGAATCGCCTTCAACATTTATCAATAAACCCATCATAGTCGTTGTTGCTAATCGTATTTGGGTTTATGGATTGGTTTATCATATTAGCAGCCTAAAATGCGAACAAAGTTTAGATAATAAGATTAAAAATTTAGGTACTGTCAACTGCACTAGTAAAATAACTAAATCCCCAGGTAGCTGTTGGCTTGTAGAATTATGGTCTACTATGATATTAGTACTGCTCTAATAATAGACCTAATCCTGAAATTGTAGATTTGTCATGATATAACTGCCTAATCTATAAGATCTTACGTGGAAGTCACACCATCGACTACATCAACTCACTGTATCGTATCAATTACCAGTACATTATGTAGAACAAGGTTAGGCTAGAGAAAGGAACAATATATTTAATATGAATAGAAGATATAAGGTAACATTCAGCAGAGGACCACTGCCTGCATGGTCGAGCCATGCCACTCGATCAACTTCAGTCCATTCAATTCCTTGTTCGCGCCTTCTCCATTGTTAGGTATTCCTCCGCGTTAAATATTGAATATCTATTTTCTGAGTGGTCTCGTGTTCACAGCTTTGTGGATTGTGTGGCTATTGTCCAATGCCACTACACTACTCTCCCACCAGAATCAACGTGATGTTGGTTCGATACCAAATTGGATGGGATCGCCGCGCGGCGGAGGTTACCAAGGATAATAAGAATCCTCCGGGTAATGATAAGCTAAAAGATAAATCAAAAAGAAGGCGGCAGCATCTGGTCGGGAAATACATGTAATAATTTTTAAAAAAATCTGCCTTCACGCTTAAAACGCTTGAAATGAAAATTTGGGTGAAGATTATTTGAACTATAAAAAATGGGATTACAATAATAATAATAATAAAACGATGCGTGTTAATAACTTAACTTATAGGCAGTAATTATTTTGTGTTTAGAAATATTAAAATAATGGATATTGTAGAAATGTTAATATTGGTATTAGTTTTGGTCTAAATTATGAAATCAGATAACGATTATGCCGGTAAGTTGTCCATACGAGTTGAATTCCAATTGCATCTGTATTAGTAGGCTAACTGAAGGAACAAAAGTATACCGTGGGGAAGAATTCCAACTAGTGTTCCAGTTAGTTTGATACGGTTTATTTAGTTACGGGGAGATTTTCTGAACCTCATTTTTACTTGACCGTGATAGAATTTAGTAATACTACTAATACACATGAATGGTTATCAAAATAAAATTTAAATACATGAGTAATAATTATATGGATTTTGGACAGAAAGCTAGGAAAAATCGTTAAACATGAGTGTGTTCGTAAGAGACATGCTCTAGACTCAATGTTCTGATCTGCGATAGACTATTTATTTATATTTATACTTGCCGGCTGATGGGCATACAAGTTAGTTGCACGTATGCGGGCAGAATACGATTTAAATGAGATATGGTGATTATAAGTTACTGAAATCAGTTAAGCCTGTGTCACATTACTAAGTTATGTGGTGCTGTAAGATGTACTCGGCCAAATACGTTTTTACAAGATGATTAACCGTGAGTGATGCTCATGTGATTATCAGGGAGTACATAAGTTGTAACCAAGGGGAGTACACTCCCAACTCATGTCTATGATAATGGCTTGAACCTTAGTCAGTGTTGGGGTAAATTCGACATTAATGTTTTCAGTTTGTAGGAGATTTGCTCGACTGCTTATACTGATTATTTGCATGCATGATTGTGTCGCTAAACCATCAATTAGACTGGCACGGTTTTGAGATATTTACTGAATAAGCAACTGATAGAGAAACATACTGTAATCATCTGTGATGGATGAAGATACCAAGAAAACAACACCATTTAATGGTAATTATAGGTCAATTTGTTGACCGATTTCGTTAATAGTTTCATTAATTTTATCAGTCATATTACGTGATTGTCAAGTCATGACAATGCTTTATGACGATATCCT